CAAAACCCTGTTAACCTTAGTACGCCTAGTCCTGTACAAAATAAACCAGACTCAGAAGCTCTTGATCTAGGATGTTTTTTAAGGAAGCCAGAAGAACAGCTGACCTTCAACACAGAAAACGATGAAGAAACAAAATCTCTTCTGGGTTGGATTCCTAAAGTTGGAGGGGCCAAGACTCAGGCCAACCTGCTTGAGCTTAAGAACTCTTTTTCAAAAACTGGTGCACATAAACGTTTCCATAAATCAATTAGAGAAGACCATAAAGACCTTAGGAATAAGGTACATTTAGGGATGAAACACCAATTCTATGACCATAATTCCTATTATTTCTACAATTGAGATATTCATCTTTCCCTTCAAAACACAGTCTCTTGCAAGAAAAGAAAATAGAATTTCTTCCTTGTTACTGGATTCTGTTTTATAGAGGAGCCATCATGAACCTTGCTAATGAGGTTTATGTTTTCAGGAATTTAAGTTTGGATCTGGTCAGAGGAACCCAGAAAAGGTGATGTTTTGACTTCTTGAGAAGTTTAACAATTTGGCAATAAATTGTTAGAACCAGAAAAACTTATAGTCTTTCATCTCATTTCCAAATGATATTCCAAGTAATTTCCCAAAACAATGTGTATGGCAAAGTTTACATTACTGTTTTTAAAAAATGAATATCTGGGGGGATAAAACCCTCAAATGTCCAATAATTGACAGATGTCTATACAAATTATATTACCTTAATAAAATAAATAGGTGAACACTATCTCTTTATGTAAATGTTTGTACAAAATAATATTAGGTACAAAAGACAAAACTCAAATGCCCTGTCAATTGAGGGATAGACAACTCTGCAAACTACATTCCTTCATTAAGTAAGTATGCAGGCCCTGTTCTTTTTACATGTAAAACATGAACAAAATGTCAGTAGAAAAGATGAAACCCAAAATGCTCTGTATGCACGCAGTCTACGCTAGATGTTTCTTTTCCTTTACACATGTGGTAGAGAAACATAACCATTTCTTGAATGCAGGGGGAAAAATGATTCTATTGTGAAGATCTGGCAATGGCTTTATTTAATAACTGGTGAGTTCTTATTCTGATAAGAAAGGATGGTGTCTTAGTCCGTTTGGCCTGCTAGATAACAAAATACCATATACGAGGTGGCTTATAAACTTATTTCTCAGTTCTGATGGCTGGAAAGTCCAAAGTCATGGTGCTAGCAGATCTGGTGTCTGGTGAGGTTCTCACTGTATCCTCACATGGTAGAAGGGGTGAGGGTCTCTCTGGAGCCTCTTTTATAAGAGCACTAATCCCCTTCATGAGGGCTCTGCCTTCATGACAATCACCTCCCAAGGCCCCGTCCTCATAAATAAATTTGGGAATTAGGATGTCAACATATGAATTTTAGGGTAACGAACATTTAGACCATAACAAATGGCTTGATATTAATTAAGCCAAATCTCATCATTTTTGGAAGGTGTCCACAAGAGTTAAGCTACCCCAGATGCAGGGAAATTCATTTAATGTGCCAAGAGGTTTATTTTAGACAGTTTATCACGGAAAGTTCATAAGGAATTTCTAAGAGGCATTGATTGAGATTTCTTTTTTGTTTTTGCTTCATAACCGACATGTCATTTGGTTACACCCTCTTTAAAATTATTCTGGGCTAGTATTATGGAATATTTTCCAAAGTCTTTTCTGTAGTACTAGTTATATTAGATATTATGGAAGCAAAAAGTTACATGGTAAAATAATATTGGAGAAAACTGGGAGCAACAAAGTAAATCATGTGACTACAATAGGATTCTCCATAGACTTTAATATATAACATATCTGGGAATTCCCAAGGTGAAGGGGATAGAGTGTACACATTTCTCAAACTAATTTGACCCTTTTATCATAAAGCATATCATTGGACTAGAATCCCAAAGAACAAACTTTGGAAGATGCACCTCTGCAGTATAGGAATTAGGGGTTTAGAATGCACTTGCCCTGGGTTGCAGGGCTAGACAATTGCACTCTATGGGTATTCACTCCACCCATCTGTGCAGCAGTGGTGCAGCCTTCATTCAGAAGTCTGTCCTAGTCATCATCCTCAGCACTCCTACTCCCCACTGCGGGCTGTTAAGGCTAGTGGATCTTATTTAGGCCACAGAGAATACACTCCAAATATGCTCATCACATGCTCATGAAATAGTTTCAAAAATATTTATGGAGGTTTCCAGATTAAGACAGATTGAACCAATGCATATAATTTCACTTACTTTGAAAAGTCCATAAAAACTATAGTAAACTTTTTTGTTTTTATTTTGTTTTTGTTTTATCCTATGTACTAGAGGCCTGGTGCACGAATTCATGCACAGGTGGTGTCCCTCGGCCTGGCTGGCCGGCTGGGGGAAGGGACCCCAGGTGGTTGGCCAGCCACCCCTCTCCCCCCAAATCAGGGCCTATGGGGGGAGGGGAGGCCAACCAGCAGCGGGGAGGGACCACAGGAGGTTGGCGGGCTGGTGAGAGGTTCCCTGTGGGAGCACACTGACCACCAGGGGGCAGCTCCTGCATTGAGCGCCTGCCCCTGGTGGTCAGGGCGTGTCATAGCAACTGGTCATTCCAGTCGTTCGGTTATAATGGTCGCTTAGGCTTTTATATATATAGGTAAAAGCATAGGTCAATAGGGGGAATAGGAGCTGAGATGTTAGGAACATTTGGAAAGGAGATGGATAAAAAACGATGGATCCTAACTAGCTAGAGCAGTGATGGCGAACCTTTTGAGCTCGGCGTGTCAGCATTTTGAAAAACCCTAACTTAACTCTGGTGCCGTGTCACATATAGAAATTTTTTGATATTTGCAACCATAGTAAAACAAAGATTTATATTTTTGATATTTATTTTATATGTTTAAATGCCATTTAACAAAGAAAAATCAACCAAAAAAATGAGTTCACGTGTCACCTCTGACACGCGTGTCATAGGTTCGCCATCACTGAGCTAGAGACACTAGAGCCCTACCCTGGCAGTGGAGAAAACAGCCCACTTTACACATCAGAATCCTCAAAAGGCTCAGGAACTTGGTACCAGGCGTGTATGAGGCAGGGTGGAGTGGGGTGGAGGGTTGCTAAATCAAGGAAGGTTGAGTGAAGGGGAAGGCACAGTTGCTACCTAGATCCTCTCCCTGCCCCCACCCCGCTTCCTTCACCGTGTGAGGTAACTGCCCTCCCTCATCCTGGCAGAAGCCCTGAGGATTATTTTCTGAAGGTAAAATAGGATTTCTGGCATGCAAAACACAGGTATAGCTGAGGACTGGGTACTATTCTGAAAATTGGAAATGAGTCGTTTTATCAATAAGGGTCTCAGCAGAACAGGCCCCCAAGGCTTCCCCTGAGGGGAGTTTCGGGCAGGGACTATTTACGAAGATGTGGGTAGGGTTATGGAAACCTCAATAGTGGGGTGCCAGGAAGGAGCAATAGCAAGGTCAGCACTCCCAACCCCCCAGTGTTACAGTGCCTCCTGCTGGCAAACCCAACCAGAAGCCGAGAGCAAGGGGGCTCAGAGGACACCGTCCTTAGACACCCTTGTCCTAAGGCAGAAAAAAAGGGTGGGAAATGGATCTAGAGAGGCAAGCAGAGAATAACCTGCACAACAATCTTATTAAGTACTGACTCCTCCCACACCCACCAGGCTACCAGAACACTGACATCAACTTTCCCAGAGAGCTCCCAGCTGAGGCCCAACATGGCCACATGCTGCCTCCTTTATTTCAGTTCTCACACTGTAAACAAAGTGTCCTTTTTGTGGTCTACTTCCTGCCACATTTTTTTTTTCATATTTTCTGTGTCTTTCCTTGGTGATTTCACTGTTTCAACTGGCCCCCCCAAGCGTAGTGCTGAATTGCTGTCTAGTGTAGCCAAACACAAGAAGTCTGCGGTGTGCCTTACCGAGGGAATGCTTGTTAGATTTGCTTCATTCAGGCGTAAGTTCTTAGACTTGACACCAAAATGTGTTCCATAAGAGAAAAAATGCATACATTTGTCTTAATCATAATTTAATACTTTTGCTGTGCAAAAGAAGATCCTGGTAAAAGGATGAAAAGCCATGCTATCTACCGGGAGAAAATATTTTGCAAACCACATATCTAACAAAGAACTAATTTCTAGAATACATTAACTCTAAACATTCAACAGTACAATAATAATCCAATTAGAAAACGGACAAAAAAACATTTCACTAAAGAATATTTAGAGATGGCCCATAAGCACAATAGATGTCCAACGTCATTAACCATCAGGGAAATGCAAATTAAAACCACAAAGAGCCCTGGCGGGTGTCTGAGTGGTAGCCCATGCACCCAGGAGTTGCTGGTTCGATTCCCTGTTGGGGCACATGCCCAGGGGCTCAATCCCCAGCAAGGGGGCAGCCGGTGGACATTCTTTCACACGGCTGTTTCTCCCTCTCCCTTCCTCTCTCTCTAAAAAAAAATCAATAAAAATATTTAATAATTTTTCTAAAAAGAAAAAGAAATTGGGTGGCCTAGAACAGAAATCATGGGCCCAGTGGTTTGGAAGGGATCCGAGGTCATTTAGTTCAACCTCCAAGCAACTGTTGCTTAACTTGGGGTCGGGAGAAAGGAGGCTCGAATTATCAATTCCTATCGGAGAAAAAGTCCCCACTGATTTCCTCTCGGTACGTAATACGTATTCAGTAACTATGAAGAGGGAAAATCCATGAGAACTCGGGGGCTGGAGTTTTTAAAATATATTTTTATTGATTTAAGAGAGGCAGAGGGAGAGAGAGATAGAAACATCAATGATGAGAGAGAATCATTGATCAGCTGCCTCCTGCACGCCCCCCACTGGGGATCGAGCCTGCAACCCAGGCATGTGCCCTTGGCCGGAATCAAACCCGGGGCCCTTCCGTCCGCAGGCCGACGCTCTACCCACTGCGACAAACCGGCTGGGGCTCGGGGCTGAATCTGAGGGACAAGGGCGCCCAGAAGAAACTTTCCAGGGATTCACCTGAGCACGTCGGCAGGGGAGCTGGTTGGAGGGAAAGTGCACAGCCGGACGCTGTGGCGATCAAGCCAGCGCTCTAATATGACTGCAGCCACCTTCGCTTCCTGAGCATGACCTTCACCTAGGTGACAGGTGGTGCAATCGGCCTAGATTTCAAAGAAAGTGCTCATCGTGTGACAGTGCTGCTTCCTCGAGGGAGAAACTGGTGTTGGCAGGTGAGGGGCCAGAGCTCCGATCCAGCCTCTGCGCGCCCGCAGTGCCCGTCCCCGCCCTGGAAGGTGACTTAAAGTCCCAGGGCGGAGGGAGAAAGGTCAGGTGCACGTGTCCAACCGTCCTAACGCCTGACTCCAGGCTCGCTCTCCGGGTGCCGCTGGCACCAGAAGTGAAAGTCTGACCAAGTGCGTGTAAAGGTCGCCAGCTGAAGGGAAGTGGCCCGGAAGGAAAAACGCCATCCTCCTAGGCCCGACGTCAGCGAGCGCAAGAGCCGTTACCTTAGCAGGATAACGCCCACGATCCACCTCGGGGGTCCATTCCACCCTCCCCAACGCCACGCGCCACGCATGCACACAAAGGCCGGACGGTGATGTCAGCCCCGCCCAAAACCTCCTCCGTGACGTAAGTCTAGCGGACTGTCGTAACTGCCCGGCAGTGAGGCTTCCACAGGAAGGGCACCTGTGCGGTACACCCTACCCTGCTAGCAGGCATGCGCGCGCTGGTCGCTGACGCAGGGCCTGGCGGCTAGAGGCAATGAGGTGCTGCTACGTCACTGCGTACCAGTAGGCCAGGCCGCACGTCGGGCGCAAAAGGGCGGAGCGAGTTCGGTTGCACCAACACCGGTACTTAGGCGCGGACCGGCGTGTCCTTGGACTTAGAGAGCGGGACGTCCGGCTTGCGAGTGGGCATCTCCCTGTCGCGCGCGACTAACGAGCGGTGAGCGCAGGGCACGGAGTACGCAGCAGGTGGCAGCGGGTGGAGGCCGA